TCTCTGGGGCGGGGACATGGGGGTCACCAGGCGGCTGACCACCCCCTCCCTGTGCCTGCCCCCCAGCCTCTGCTCCACACGCGCGGGCCCTGAACTGGGCTTGGGGCTCACCCACCCGCCGCCTGGGCACTGCTGGCAGTGCAGTGAGATACCCTTCCCAGAGATGGGGTCCTGGCACCCCACCCTGCTTGCCCAGACCCTGCTGTCTGCACACAGGCCTAGATAGCCGGGTCCCCCAGCCCCACGGCCCCCGAGGCCGGGTGAGGCGTGAGGCTTGCTGGGCAACCGGGCAGCAGCCCAAGGGCCCCCAGGGCGGGGGTACCGTTCTCCACGCTCAGGGCGCAGGGGTCCTCCAAGCTGTTCCTGACGTTGGGGCAGGCGGCCTGAGTCTTCCAGGTGTTGGCGAAGGCGGCGGCCGTGCCCTCCACCACGCCACTCAGGCTGAGGAAGTCGTCCGCCTGGTTCTGGTTGAAGTTCCCACAGAGGCCTGGGGGGAGGGAGGGGAATCAGCCTGCATCCGACCCAGCTGTCCAGCCCGGCCGCTGCTCCTGGCCTGTGCTTTCTCCCACACCATGGCTGGGTTCTAGAACCATCTGCCCATAGGCTCTGGTGGGGGTCAGCGCCTGTGCACAGCCCCACCGCCATCCTCCGAGGCCCTGCCCTGCTCGCTGCCTCCCGGTCCCCACCGCCGACCCCCTCCCTCCGGGCTCGGCCGCTCACCACACATCTGGCCTCGGTAGGCGGGGTCCAGCCTGAGGACCAGCTGCATGAGGGGCACCAGCTGCACCTCCAGCTGCAGCCCGAGGCCCGTCTGCACCAGGATGAAGAAGGTCGAGGGCCTGAATATGGTGATGTTGGCTGTGGGGGGTGGCGGTGTGGTCAGAGGCGGCCCGGGGCCCCGGCCCGGCCCCGCTCCCCCCCAGTGCCCGAGCCTCGTGCTCCCGAGACAGCCCAGGAGGCGGACACTGGCTCCGACAGGCGTCTGGTGGACCCGACACCCGCTGCGGTCCAGGACCGGGCCGGAGCTCACATGCCTGCACGGGGCGGGACCACGGACACCCTGAGAGGCCGGGGTCCCCGCAGCAGCCACAGGTGGGACCACGGAGACGTCACTCTGAATGTGACAACCACCCCAGGCATGTTCTGGAACTGCCCGCAGCCAGAGAGCCCGAGCAGGGCCGGGCGTGTCCGGGCCGTACCTGCTGACACGGGCAGCTGGGTGTAGATGGAGTTCATGAACACCCCACCACTGGCCTGGATCTGGATGACCTGGGGGGGGAGAGGAGGGGCCGGTCAGGCGGGGGCGGAGCCACCAGAGCCTGGATGGCTCTAGGACAGCCCAGCAGGGTGGCTCCCCGGGACTGAGGGGCTCAGGGAGGGCGTTGGAGCCTGCTCCCCCCCGCCCTCCCCCCCACCCCGCTCATCCCTGTCGTAGGTGACGGGGCAGGACCCTCACCGTGTCCCCGCCGTCCATGCTCAGGGTCACCGTCTTGAGGCAGTTCTCGTTGTCTGTCAGGCCGCACTTCCGCAGCTCGGCCAGCACCGTGAAGCCGCTGTCTGCACATTTCTAAGGGCAAAGCAGGGCATTGTGTGCAATGCACATGTGTATGCGTGCACCAATGTGCACACATATGTGGGCGTGTGTGGCGCATGTGTCTGAGTGTGTGTGTGTGTCTCTGAGTGTGCGTGTGTCTCTGAGTATACGTGTGTCCCTGTGTATGCGTGTGTGGGCATGTGTGGCGCGTGTGTCTCTGTGTATGTGTGTGTCGTGCCCTGTGCCCAGGCTGCCCTGCAGACTGCAGGTGGGCGGTGGCTCTCAGTGGCCTCTGGCACCTGCAGTCACCTCCAGGGAGCATGTCTCAGGGTCTGGGCATCCCTCTGCCCCTGTGGGTGTGCGGATGGGACCCAGGAGGGGCCGGGGGGCAGGGGAGGGCTGAGGCCGGGACCAGCCGCACCTTGGACAGGACGTAGCTGCAGTCGCCGTGCATGTCGTAGAGTTTCTCGTCGTAGGTGGAGATGTGGGAGCCGCCCTGGACGGAGCATGTGCCTGGGCACGGGAGGTCCTGGCACTGCCACAGTCCCCCCGAGCAGGTGCTGCGGAGGCGAGGAGCAGAGTGGCTGGGTGAGGGGGAGCTCACCCACCCCCCGCGCCGCCCCCCTGGCAGGGCAGGGTGGGGGCCTACCA